CATTCTACTCTCTGCTTCTATGTGTTCAACTTTTTAAAATTCCACATATAAGTGAGATCATGCAGTTTTTTTTTCTTTCTGTGTCAGGCTTATTTCACCTAGCATAACATTATCCAGGTTTATCCATGTTGTTACAAGTGGTAGGCTCTCCTTTTTTAAGGCCAAATAAGACTTCATTTTTTGAAAGTTTCTCCCACTATCACAAAAAAGAGCATTCCTGTGAAAGTTCCCATAAGCAGAAATGGTATAAAGTGAAAAAGCAATTAGCATTAATTTATATGCAAAGATTTTTTGAGTGTTCCCAGACTTTTCTAAAAAATAACCTATCCTATCTTAGGCTTTTCTGATACATTAGGACACATCTTGCTAACAGATGCACAGTGGAGGTAAAGCACAGATGCTCACAGATACAGTTCAAAGCTAAGGCACCTTGACACTGAGATGCTGAGTGTAGTTTCCAGGGAAAGAGCCTGGTGGCAACACTCTCACTGCTTATGATTCATGTTGCTTCTATAACAGCTTGCTGTAAAACAAACACTGAAATCTATAAAAGCAAAAATCCCTGGATTTCTTTTGGTAGTGAAAACACATCCTAATGTAGGATCTCTTGTAAAAGGTGAAGTGGTGTAATGGGAACTATTGAAAGTGGAGGATACCTGTATATATCAATCAATATATCATATAAATTGACTTTTATTATGTAATGACCTTCTTTGTCTCTTGTGTCAGTTTTGACTTAAAGTCTATTTTCTCTGATATAAGTATAGAAACCCCTGCTTGCTCTCTTTTGGCTACCATGTGCATGGAATATCTTTTTTCATCTCTTAATTTTTGGTCTATGTACATCCTTAAATCTAAGTTGAGTCTCTTGCATATAGCATATAGTTTGGTCTTGTGTTTTTACCCATTCAGCCACTCCATGTCTTGCTTGTTGAGCTTACTACATTTACATTTGGTTTTCTTTTGATTCACCAGAAAGTATCCCTAAGAGAAGGGGAGAATATATTTCTACTGCCAAAAGAGTTAGGAAGAAAGTCTGAAGCAGATATAGTAAACTTGGAATTTCTCTGAAGTTTGTTGTTTATCTTAAAAATTCATAGGAATTCTACATTTTATTTTATAAAAATATGTGCTTGTATTAATGCTTTATATTTCTTAACTCTGAATGCTGTAGAAAGATACACGAGCTTATTGTGTGGCTCCCACTACTGCTAGATACACAAGTTTGAAAATAAATTTCATTTTAGTCTTTATCACCATAAGCACCATAAATTAATCTTTTATAACTTTTCATGGTTTCTATGGCATTTGAGGTATGCATTGGCATATTGCTGCACTTTGCAAATAAATCTAAGTTTCAAACAAAATCATATCTTGTGCTACCATTTATTCTAATTTAGTCTATTTTAAAGTATATATCTGTAATAAAATAATTAAAATGCTACAGAAATGTGTTAAGTAGAAAGTAGAGGCTGATCACATCTCAATCTGTCTTCAAGGAGGTAACACTGACATATAATCTTTAGATTCTTTTAAATGTATTAAAGAACCTTGCTGCTTAAAGGAACCTGATGATGAATCTTTTTGTAAATTGCATAATTAAAACTCATTATTAAAAGCCTGTTAAATGTCTTTTTTCAAATATAGGCCATCTATAATTTATATTTTAATATTACTATGATAAATCTGAGAGAGAGGTGAACTGTGTCAGGGTTTTGGAATTCAAATGCATTCCCCTGGAGTCTTTGTCAAGGAACTTTCTGGGATTGTGTTTATAAAATTCATAAATGGCTGGCTCAGATTTCTGGAATATTCTCTCAGCTTATTAATAGTTCATAGGAATAGAGAGGACAACAAGACAAGATAAGAAACTGACTCAGGAATGTTTTATCTAAGTAGTTTAATTTTGATATACACAATGTATTAAATCTTAATACTAAATAAAGGGATACATTTAAATATTTCAATACAACCTAACAGTCATTTTTATATTGCTAAGTTGTTATCCAAACTACTTTTGGCAGTGTAATGAAGTGACCGACTGTATCCACAATCATATGTAGTTCTGTTGCACTTTCTTTTATGTGTGCTTACCTCTGGAACTGAGATAAAAGGGTTTAAGTATGTAATGCATCATAACATAGTTACTTGGAATAAGATTATTCTGTTTGAGATTTTAGCTCCACCACAAATGGCCACTCTAACATATCCATTTTCTCATCAGGAAAATAGGAATAATAACACTACTGACACCTCTTAGAGTTGTTGTGAAGATTAAAAGAAATATTCCAGATGATAGCACTGAGCACATTGCCTGAGATAGATTATGGGCTCAGAAATGAAACTTAATTCTAGTTGGTTATCTGGATCTGGATATCTAGATACAAAAATCTAGTCAATAGTTAGAAATTGATAGATTTAAAAAACTGAAATGTGACAGCCTCAAAACAAGTAACTGGTTAGGTACAAGAAACAAATGACTAGTACTTAGGAAACAATACATACTATTTAAGTCAAGTGAAGAAAATAGTAAAATTTTCATGATAGCCTGAAAAGATCATTGATATTTTCATTGGTATATTAGATTATTTTGAAGTAATAAGCTGGTAAAATATACCAACAAAATATTTCAAATAACTTGAAGTTACTGAGGTAGAATTCTAGATGAAGAGAAACTTTTGAAAAAGTGACCTAAACAGGAATGTAAAAATAGTAACTGCCACGTCCAAGAGGGCACTGAGGTTAGTCGGGGATGAGTAAACACCACTTTATTACAACCATGTCTCTACAAACACATGATTTCCTTAACACGTTTCTTCCTACCTTTACTAATTAATGAGATTTAAGCATAATGTTATAGATATTAGATCTCTTAATAAATTCATAGATGGAAAGGATTTCTCTGATTTTAAATTTGTTTTCAATGTACAACATAATGGTGATACATCTCTTTTGGTAGGTGTGATAGTCTTATGTGTCAACTTGGTTAAGCTATGGTAGCCAGTTATTTAGTCTACTAATTAAGGTATTCCTGTGAAGGTATTTTGAAGATATAGTTAATATCTACAGTTGGATAACTTTTTTTTTTTTAAAGATTTTATTTATTTATTCATGAGAGACAGAGAGAGAGAGGCAGAGGGAGAAGCAGGCTCCCAAGGAGCAGGGAGCCCGATGCGGGACTCGATCCCAGGACCCTGGGATCATGACCTGAGCCGAAGGCAGACGCCTAACCATCTGAGCCACCCAGGCGCCCTACAGTTGGATAACTTTAAGTAAATGAGATCATCCTCAAAAATGTGGGTGGGCCTCATCCAGTCAGTTGAAGGCCTTAATAAAAACTGGTTTCCCAAAGAAAAAGGAATTCTGACTCAAGACTGCAAGGATACAATATCCTGCCTGCATTTCCACCCTACCAGGTTGCCCTGATTTGCCAGTGCCTGCCACTGCATGAGCCAATTCTTAATAATAAATTTATCTATATATCTGTGTTTATATATCTTATTAGTTCTGTTTCTCCTGAGGACCCTGATTGATACAGTAGGTATCAATCACAATTACATTTTCTACAGGTTATTAACACTAACTAAGCATTGTCATTAAGAGTTCCTTTAGTTCTGTTATAAACTTATTTATTTTATTTATTTATTTATTTTAGAGAGAGAGAGAGAGCATGCAAGTGCGGGGGGGAGGGACAGAAGGAGAGAGAGAATCTTAAGCAGGCTCCACGCTTTCATGGGGCTGGATCTCACGACCCTGAGATCATGCCCTGAGCTGAAATCAAGAGTCGGACACTTAACCAACTGAGTCACCCAGGTGTCCCTAAACTTATTTATTAAAATGTAGTCATAATGCATGGCCTACAGAAAATTCAATTAAATTAACAGGTGTGAGGGCCTGGGTGGCTCAGACGGTTAAGCGTCTGCCTTCAGCTTAGGTCATGATCCCAGGGTCCTGGGACAAAATTAATTAATTAATTAATTAACAGGTGTGGATCAATCAGTAAATGTAAAGTATTGGGCTTTATGTTGGTTTATAACATATATATTATAAATTGTATTATTATTATATCATTATATGTAATGAAGTCACAATTCCTGTCCTTGGTGGGGAAAAGATCTACATGTAACAGTTGAGTAGGATTAAATTAGTGTTTTGATAGAGGTATTCATGGAATGACAATTCAGAGACCAGAAGTAATGAGTCTCCATGACTGGAGTACAGCACATTTGGGAGAACGTGGGGGGAAACGAGGTTGGATGGGTGGTGGTAGCTGGATATTAAAAGTTGTTAAATACCAAACTAAAGTGTTTGAACTGAAATTTGTGACAGAGCATCAAGGATGTTGAGTGGAATTTTTACATCATCTGAAATGCTGTTCCCCAGACAACTCTATGAAAGGAAAACTGGTCAGGCAGGAAATTAGAGGCAGGGGGTCGGAAAACCTCAGAATAGCACATAAAACTTCCAAGTTTTAAAAACATGATGCTTTGGGTCGTGACTCACAATATTGTCATCTCAATATTATTATTATTATTATTATTACCACATAGACTTCGGTTCTAAAAATAAGCATAACCTTAAAATTCTTATTCTTAAAAAGAATAAGAATAAGCATTCTTCAAAATGTTTATAGAAATTACAAATAAATAACTAAATACTTTTTAGTATTTAGGTGGGAATGGTTATGAATTACAAATAACTAAATATTACAAATAACTAAACTTTTATCAATATAGAAAACACTTTTTAAGAAGAAAAAAATCAAGCAAATAAAAAAGCAGGCTATACATTTGCTTTTAACTTTATAGAAAATATTTTTAATGACAAATATCTTAACATATACAGAATTCATTTATTAGACATTTGCTAAGTACTTACCTCCTATATGATGGGCATGGTGAAGCACTGATGGATGCATTTAAAAGTGACAAAATTTTCAAGGAATTTTGTTTAGACGGGTCATACATATTGTAACTATGGCACTTCTCATGATTTAGAACAAAATAGTAGCTTGTCTTTTAATTGATAAATATTTTGGATGGTAATTTTGGATCAGACAGAAATCATGTCTTAATAAGTTTTCAATTAGCAATAATCGCGCCTCGGATAAACCTCATTGGCTATGATACTGCCACTGCGCAAAGCTAATCATGTCTTAATAAAAAGCTTAAAAATTAAAGTAAATGTTTTTCTCAAAGATAAAGTAAAAGAGAAAAGCATTTCTTATAAAGCTTCATAATAAGAGTAGATACATGGAACTTCAGATCATATTGGAAGGAAAGATGATTCCCCAAAAGCCATTATCTTATGTGTTTCTTATTTTCTCTCATCAAAAAATAAGAATGAAGAATTATTAGATTACGGATTATTGTCAGAGTCTGAAAGCATTAGCTGGCAACTACCCTTATATTTAAGAATTTTTTAAAATGCTGGACAAAACATGAAAAATTGTATGAGGACAATGTAGAGCCTATAGTTTTAAATGGTATATAGAAAAGCACCTAGAAATTTTATATCGAAAAGTTTAACTTTAACAGTAGAGATATCCAGGGTAAAAGATACAAAGTCAACTGGTAAGCACTCATGAGAACATTTATAATAACCAGCATGAGTCTGCACAAAATAAGTCCTATCATTTTTCCCATATCTTTTTATAAAAGACAGTGATCTCAATGGTAGTGTGTGAGAGAGAATGAGAGTCAACTATAATTTATTTTGTGATAATATTTTTTTTTAATACTACTTCATTTGACGACCCTCAAAAAACTAGGAAATAAAATATAGATAACACTATTTATATAGGCTAATACAATTAGTAGGATATGGTTTTCATATTACAGGTAATGACCCATTAGTGGATTTTGAAATCAATTTTGTGGGTCGAGACCTGTATTAAAAAAATAAAAAGAATAACAGAAAAGAATAGGACACCATAGAAAGAAAGAGGAAATAGAAGATAAGGATAGTATTATGTCATAAATAATCCTTTTTTTTTAGGTGTGTGTGTCCGGGGATGAGATATGAAATTCATAACTTAAAACAGATTGTGGATGAGAAAATGTTTCAAAAACCTGAGCCATAGGGTCACACTCAGAGAATGGTCATCAATGTGTATCACTGTCAACCTTAGGTGGACTTCCACGGGAGAGTTCCGCTGGGGTCAGCGCTGGGTACAGGGGTATTTTAGTATCTTGTCTATGTCCCAGATAATGGAAAGTAGAACACATTTAAGTCACTTGTGATGTCCAATATGGAGATGATATAGTACCAGAATCTTTAACAGAGAACTGAGGTTTCTTATCACCTTTTAGGCATTGATCCACTTATCCAAATGCAGTGTATTTTCAAGTTCTGACTACATATTGGGAAGGATGCAAAAGCTACACATTTTTCATTTTCTAAAAATAAGGCAGTGTTTCATAGGATTTGCAACTGGGTCAAACCTTTTAGGGATTTTAAAAATGGTGTCTAATTTATTTATTTATGCACTGATGAAAAAAATGATAAACAAATGTATACAGATTTTTACATTTAAAAACTTTTTCCAGAACATGTAACTGGAATCATAAGCAATTATATTCTGATCTCAATACTACATACTATATACAGGTAGAGCTCTGGGAATTTTTAAAATTAGCTATTATATTAATTTCAAAGAGGTTAAAATAATGTGCCCTATATATCACTAAAAGGTTTTAGTTGTCTTCATGGTCTCTTATTACTTCCATGTTACTATGGAATGTGATATTAGATGGAATGATTTACACTGTTGAGATCATAATCGATCTTGTTATTGGTCTCGTGGCTGCCTTTTCAAAGAATAAAACACTTCTTGGTCGAACAAATACAGGTCCTGATATAACTCAGTGTTATATTCTTCACTTGAGACTTTGATGTAAAGTTCTTAGCAACGTATTATGATAGCTCAATGGAGACTCTTTCCACTGTATCTTTTTCCTCACTTTCTTGGAGGTAAGTGAGAAGAAAACGCCTTTCATTTGTGGAGTCATGGTAACATATAATTTCACTGCAGTCTGGTACACTGGAATAAATATCTTGTCTACTTCCACTTACCTTGCTACATGATTAATTACAGGAGCAAAGTTAGTCGGCCCATATAGTTGCACAGATTTCAGACTCCTATAGTAAGCCTCCATGACCCCCTCAATGCCATCACAGTAGGGGTTTTGAGGGTTCCCATTCTGTGGAATTGACAGGCAAAAAAGAGTAAAAATTAGTAGTGTCTGCAAAGATCAACTGAAAAAGAGAAAAGATAGGTTGACACTCAAAGATGTTTTAAAGAATAGTCATTTATTTAAGAGCAAAAAAATAAATTAAGTGATCAACAATACATTACAATATATTATAAAAACTGTGATATGATGAATCTAATATATAAGCATTAAAAATTGATACTCTTCAAAAGAACCACAGAAAACTCTAAAGAATCTTGAGAAGCTGAATACCACAACATTCTATAATTAATGTCTTCATTTGCATATGTCTATGTATGTGTAGAGATGTACATATAAAAACCCTGAAAAGAAGTAAATAAAATATTAACAGTGGTTAACTCGGGGTGGTTACATATAATTGGTGACTTTTATTTCATTCTTTAAACTATTCAATATTTCCCAACTTTTCTGCAGTGATATCTATTAAAATCAAGAAAAAAAAATCACTATCCATTCAGTTTTACCTTATAGAAGGCAAAATACAAAATATCTGCCACGTGCACATTTTCAGGTCACAACTGATAACCCCAAGGAGAGAAGGGGTCTGAGGGAATGTAATTTGGTGCAAAAATTATCAAGAGAAGGTAAAATGAAAAGAATCAAGGAAACATTCATGTTGTCCACGAGAAATGGAGCTTGCCACTAAGTTCTTATTCGGGAGAAGGCACCTAGAAGGGCAAGTTCATACCTGGAGACCTAGACTAGTTTTTTCATACCTTGAATGCTTTGTTATTATTAAGTTCAGTTCTCCTAGTCCAGATCTTGCAAATGACACATATAAGGCAGTGTATTAGTTATCTATTGCTTTGTAGCATATCACCCCAAAAGTTAGTGGCTTACAACAGTAATTGTTATCTCAAACATTTTTTGGGTGTCAGCAGCCGCTTAGCAGGTGGTTCTCACTCAGCATTTCTCATGAGTTTGCAGTCACTGTGCCAACCTGGGCATCTGAGAGTTTGACCAGAGCTGCAGAACCTGCTTCCAGGAAGGTTCACTTACATGGCTGCTGGCAGGAGGTCAACGTGGTGTCTCTATAGGGCTGCTCGAGTGTTCTTACAACATGGCCGCTAACTTCCTCAGAATGAGCAATCCAAGAGAAACAACAAAAAGGAAGCCCCAACACCTTTTATAAGCTAGTCCCATAAGATGCACATCAATATTCTACTTTAATCTCTTTGCTAGAAATGTATCACTAAGTATAGCCCATGCTCAAGGGAAAGGGAATTAGACTCCACCTCTGGAAGGGAGGAAGGATAAAAAAATGTAGATATATTTAAAACACTAGAGACAGTAATTATATTTAAACAGAGTTAACAGTAATTTCAGCATGCATGTTTTTATCTGAACAATCACAAATGACCAGTAATTTGTAAATAAAATTTGTTGATTTCTATATACTAAGCTTTACATTAAAATATTTACACATATTAGATAGTTTTTATAACAACCCTAAAAAAGTAGATAAAATATTGTCATTATCCCCACTTTATAAATGAAAAAATTAAGGCGCTGAGAGTTCAGTGTGTCCCAAAATTACACAACACAAATGAGAGGGCCAGTATTTGAACCCTCAGTTTAACTTCAGAGCCTAATCTCTCTCTTTTTTTAAAAAATATTTTATTTATTTATTTGAGAGGGAGAGCATGAGCACAAGCAGGGGGAGAGGCAGAGGGAGAGTGAAAGGAAGAAGCAGACCCAAGCAGTAAGCTCGATGTGGGGCTCAATCCCAGTCTCCTGGGATCATGTCCTCAGCTGAAGGCAGACACTTAACTGACTGAGCCACCCAGGCGCCCCTAGAGCCTAATCTCTTAACCACCACCAGGCCACCATGCTTTGAAATCCTAAGCATTTTGAAAGACAAGAGATCTTAGGAAACCAAGGCAGATGTTATCAACCACTTCAATTTTGCCATTTGTGTGAGAGGGATATATACCCACTTTTTCCTTCTAATTTTGTCTTTTATTCAAATTTTTTAAATCAATTGACCATCATGTAAATTTTTAAAAACATAAAAATAACAAAAAGCCTCTTACATAATAATAAAGACATTTTTATAGTTTTATACTACAAATTGGTCACATTAATTGATTGAAATTATAATGTAAAAGTTTAATATTTAGCACAAAGCAGTTAATGATTGCTTTTGATGTTAATCTGAACTGAACCTTCCTTTAAATAAAATTTTACAGTGCTCTTTTCCCTTGACAAGATATGAAACTAATTAAAATTAAAACTCATTATTGACTTTGAACATATAGAAATGTATTCTATATCTGCCTTAGGGGAAGAAATACAAATCAGGATAGTTCTGAGCAACTTTTTCATCATCATTTTAACATTTTAATTAAGGGTTTACATTTCTAGAAAATAATATATTTTCTGTATTCCTGTGGAACTGAAATTACAACAAGGTCACCATTTTTCTCACCATTTCATTTCTTAGTGGAAAGATAATCATTAGATGTTCTATTCATCATTACGGAATATTTAAAGCACTGATTTCTGCATTAGCCCTAATTCCATAATAAATTGCTCTAAGAATTCCTCATATGCTTTGGATGATAAGAATACTTAGGACATAAAATTACACATTCTTTTTAATATATGCTTTTCATTATATCAGGATTATTTAAAATAATTTACAGCTATTAAAATGAGATTTTCCTCTTAATGACAAATTGTAATGAGTTATAAAAAGATTTTTTAAGTCTAAAAACTCATTTCACAAAATAATTATGTGTGTTAGTTACTAATTACTAACAAGCAATTAGCTTTTACTTGTTAAAACAAATTAAAATAAGCTTATGTGTGGCTCTAGCACAAAAGTAAAGCACAGGATATTTTTGAAAGTAAGTACATTCAATTTTGTTGTTTATTAATGAAGAGGGCAGTAGATGCCCTATTTTATATTTCCATTTTAATTAGCAACCTTTCCCATTTATAAAATAATTAATGTTATTTTGTAGAACACATGGAACATAAAGAACAGAATTCAAAATGAGCACTAATCCCACCACGCAGACTTAAGTGGGGAGGGATGTCCGTCTCTCACCAATTTTTCCCTCCATTTGGCTCCCTGAAGACTTGTACTGAGGATTTAGATTCAGTTCCAAGAGAGAAGACTATACAGTCTCTGTTGCTGCCTAGAGCCTATAACACTTTTCAGCAGGGCTAACAAGCTGACAAAATGCTGAAGAGAAGCTCTAAGGAGTTGTCGCTTTACTCTTTGAAATGGATCAAATGGATCCGTTGCTGCCCAGAGATTGCTTAGGTGGGGAAAAGCTGCAAGTCTCCCTTTTATTCAGTAAGCAAACATCTGTTGAGCTTCTATTTTATGCATACAATGTTAAGACCCTTGGTTGTTAAATCGTTAGCATCTAGATGGAAGAAAAGACATACATATCAATATTAAATTGCACATATTTCTATAAATGCCAAAGTAAGCGAAAAGTAGGCCAGCCCTTTTAGAGCTCTAGTAGGAGAAATCACTTGGACAGATGTAAGCACTTCTCTATTGATCACTGCAGGAGACTTTCTTTAAAGGGTCATTGGCCCCATGCCCATTACAAATATCTCCTCTGATGCTCTACACTATTATTATATTTTGTTTTAACAACTTAAGGAGTCCTCAGACTCATAATGGGAAGAGAGCAATGACTCCCTTTTACAACCTTTGTGCTAACATGGTGGTACCAGGACATTCTTTCTTTCTTTCCTTTTCTATTCCCTGTTCTTTTTCCACTATGGAATATATGTATATGCTTATTCATATTTCATAGGAAAAGCTGGGGTTTATCGGCGACCCTTTTAAGTAACAGCAAAGAAAACATTAAAAATTACATTTTTCTGTTCAACTTTCAACATTTGCGCTAGCCTTAAACTCACCAATTAGGGTTTATTTAATTTTTTAGAAGGCCTCCCTTGCTATCTGAAGATTATTTGAACTTGGTTTGATAAATAAATATTTATGACTCTGTATCACAAATTGTTACCATGAAAATATGAGGGTTTGTTAGGATTACAGACTACACTAATTGCCAGACTGACATGGGACTGGTTTTCCTATTTGCCATTTCAGCACTTATAGGTATATATTGCAGTTGTTTAGGATGAGGTTAACAGAAAACTGTAGCAAAAAATCAAATCAAATACTGTCTCACTGAAGACCTACTTAACTCCTCTGCCTTATTTACCCAAGAAAAAAAAAAGTGCTTTGAAAAAATTAATTGGTCAGTGCTGCTAAAGTTCATTCATTATCATCATTGTTGTTTTCAGCTTCAATTTGGGAGACTATTTTTCATAACCTTAAAGGGGTATGATCTCTATCCTATAAGTATTTGAACTGGGTTCAAAGAATTGTTTAAGATGCAAATAATAATAAAAAATCCTTCCTTGGCAATAGATATTTGCATAGGTTTTTTTTATAAGAAATGAATCTGGATGTAGGAAAAGCAGAAAAGTAGAGGATTAGAGAGAGACAAAAGGAAAAAATCACACACAAGGGTGAGAAGAAGTGTATGGAAGGAAAAATTAATAAACCTCATTTAGTTTAACATAATTATTCCTTTTCTTAAGCTTTAAAATAGCTCATGACCTTTTTCCTGAGGCACTTAAGACTTAGCATCACATGAGTGACTTTCATGGTTTTATAAGTTTCCGGGAAATTTTAATTCTCTAAGACACAACAAAATCCCAATAGATATTCATTTTTATATGACATTGGGAAAGTGGCATGTGGGCTAATTCATGGAAAAAAGAATTAAAGCCTCCAGCAACCTTTCCTGCAATTGTGAGCGCACTGGAATAGAAAAGCAAGGGTAAATATAGAAATGAAAATGTAAAAATACTGCTCTTAAAAGATATTTAAAGAAGTTTAAATCTAATCATATATAAGTTCTGGATGTGTGTGTGTGTGTGTATCCTGATCAATATCATACCATGGTGTTAATAAAGCACATATTCGAGAG